CAGAGCAGACAGTACCTAAAATAACGACTCCGGTGAGAGGCCGGGTCGTTACAAAAAACGCTCCATCACCACCACACGGAACACCACCACAAATCCACCACCATCGATCACCACAGATCCACCACCACCTCCTATATCTCCATTTACACCACACCCATAGAAAAACATGAGAAGGGGGGCAGGGAGAAGAGACAAGAGAAATAGGGCTTGGCCCTCGAAGCGACTTGTGAAGACGAAGGTAGTGTCCAGCTACTTTGTGTGGCTTCACTCCCACAACTTCGCATGGCTACACTCCGGTGGTGCCGGCGAGGTGGTGGTGGCGGCGCCGGGGATAGAGAGATAGGGGAGAGAAAATGGGGCAACGGGGAGGGAGGGAGGGAGGGAGGGGGAGAGAGAGAGAGAGAGTGTGTGTGTGTGAGAGCCGGGGAGAAAAAATGAAATAATTAGGGTTTGAAATTATGTAGGATTGATTTAACAAAACATTTGAGATTTGAAATAGTAAATTAGACCTCTGATTTTTGAAATGGGATCTCTAAATGTCTGGGTTCTTGTAATTAACATGTTATCAATTTGGTAGATTAATTGTGAAGTTAATGAATGTAAATTTGAGATGACATGTTAATTTAAAAATGATGTGTCAATAATTAATTGAGTGGATAGCAAATTGGACCGTGGATCTCAACTCGCAAATGATAGCAGTTGTGTGCTTGTGTGGAATTGTCAATAAGAAGTTTGCTGCTAGAAATTTTGTGCTCTTTTACAATTTATAATAATATTAATAATAATTTACATTTTTTTTCATTTTTTATAATGTACTTGTGTTTCTAATATAATTGTGGATCCCCTTTTTTTCACTAATAGGTCACCCGTTATTTTTAGGATCTGCTTTCGAGCAAGTTTGTGACAAATGATCGGACTTCTGACTTGCCAATGTGGGGAGTCCCTCAATTGGGGAGTGAGAGACTTATTTCAAGAACTTTCCGCTTTCAACTCACTCGAATTTTATGTGAAGGGTAAGCTATGTCTATTGCACTCCACAATAATTTCCTACTCAATATTGTGAACTTTCTTATTCACCCTTGAAAATTTTGGTATAAAAGAAAAACATTAATCCATTCATTTGGTTTACACTTACAATCTAATAATAACTCGATTCATCTTCCCGGTTCAAATTCATTTGGTTCGCATTGTGTGTGTGTGTGTATATATGTATATATCGCTCTCATTGCTGAAAATAGTAGCTTTTAAAAAGTATGACCCCCTTAAGCGAATTGGTTCACTAGATAAATGAGGTTTCATATGTTCAGGGACCTGAGAATGTAACAAGAAAACGGAAGGCTCGATCGTCTTCCGGAAAGAGATGCAATTATTTTGAAAAGACAATTATCGTTCGTATCGTCTTTTGCTTTCTTTTTCCGGGGGTTGGGTGTGGAGGATTGCTTCGTGGTTCTTCCCCTTCTCTATGAATATAAATTGGTTCTTAAGCTAAATAATAATTTCGACCAACTATTTTAATGCAGCTGTTCGCATAATGGGGATGGTTGATAGAATAGAAAAACATTCTTAATTTTTTCTTGGCTGCCAAAACATGTAGGGACATTAGCCTAGGTTTGAATTTCAAAATTCCCATGTTTCGTACGTGCTAATTGATTGAACACAGTTTGGCTAATAAACAAGATAATAAGGGTGTGTTTGATAGGCTTCAAATTCCATGGAAATTCCATTTTTTAATATTTGTCATGTTTGATATCATTTTTTTTAATGGAACTCCTTTTCCATTTTGAGCCGACACGTGCACCGTTTCCTTATTTTCAAGGAATCCAGTTTTTTTTTTTAATTTTTTTTTTTTTGAAAATGGAAACAAATTTCATAACCAATTATAAAAAAAAATTACTTTAATAGACAATTTACATGTAAAATAAAGTCAAACGAATACTAAAGTTTGATTAAAAAAATGTTTTTTTAGGAAAAAAAATTCCTTTTTTTTTTTTTTTACTTTTTAGCAATGAAAACAAATTTTATAACTAATTGTAGAAAAAATTATCATTTTAGTGGACAATATCCATGTAAAACAAAGATAAAAGAAGGCAAAATTTAAAAAAAATTTAGGTGGAAAATTATACCATCAAACACACTCAATTAACAATTCTCTGAAAAATAATTTCTAAGTAATTACATTCCCTAAAATTCATTTTCTTTTTACCCATTTTCCATCATTATAATCAAATGGACCCTAATATTATTTACGTACCAAATAAGTCATAAAATGTGAAAGTGAAACAAATTTTAAACATTTTAAAACCTCGGCCTTTGCTCATAGTAGATTTTTTGTTCTTAGTTTTTTTTTTTTTTAATACTAAATTCTTACGTGTTAAATTCTATTAATTACCAGATCTCGTGCTTGATGATGTTTTCTGTCAAAATATTCTATTTGTACAGTGATGATACTATTTGTCACACTTTCAAATTTTTTATTTAAAAAAAATGATGAACAAGTAAGTCTTTTATACCCTCCAATGAACTTTTTGGATGAAAATCATTATGAGATATTAGCTATACTAATAGTATAAAATATGTCGAAGTCACACATTTTAAAAACATTTCGACGATTTATTTGGACAAGTAGAGACTCTATCACATAGACAACTCAATATTCGCTCCTTATAAGAAAAACATATTCAGTTCCATCACATTAAATAAACATAATAGACAAAGTGATTTACTTCGAATAAAAAGACAAAATCCCATTGATCAATCAATTTATAAAAGAAAAGATAATTTCATAAATAAAAACTTTTGTGATAAAATTCAAGGGCTAATTTCTACCATTGTCACCTTACTTTCAACTTTTGTCGTCATGCCTATCAATCTTTATTATGTTTCACCATGACCATTGAGCTTTAGGAAGTGTTTGGTAGAGATTAAAATTGGATTAAAATTGAAAAATTAGTCGTTATTGTTAACTTTTATTAGATGAGTGAAACTCAATAACGGTCATATTTTCAATTAAAATTGGATTTTAATCTTGGGCNAAGTTAAGTGACGCATTAGGATCAGAATTTAGGGCGTGTTCGATAGAGATTAAAATTAGATTAAAATTGAAAAACTAGCCGTTATTGTTGACTTTTATTAGACGAGTGGGACCCAATAACGGTCATATTTTCAATTAAAATTGGATTTTAATCTTGGGCAAACATGCTCTTAATTTATTCCTTATAAAGTTTGGGTAAATATCACCGTGGACCCCTAACATTTGAACCTTTCGATAATGAGTCTCGAACCTTTGATTTCTGACTCTAGGAGTCTCAAAGCTTTCTAATGTCTATGCCCGAAATCATTTTGTAATGGAAAAGGTCAGTTTGATCGTTAAAAATTCGAATTTCAAATAAATAACCGTTATACCCTTAGCTTTATTTAAACCAAAAGAATAGAAATAATTTGAGTTAAAACAAAAGAATATAATTAAATAATAAAGATTAAAAGTGCTTAAAAAAAAGTTAAGGTCAATCAATATCCTTCCCCAACG